TAGTATTATGTTATGATTTCAGTTTTTTACTGTTAATATTAATGAAATTATTGTGAGTTAAATCGATTTTTTACTGTAATAAGTAGTGCCATCATAATTTATAATCTACATAAAATGATTACTGTAGAGCGTGTAAAAGACTTATTGTTAGTGGTTATTTTGCAATACATATGTGTAGAGGAATAGTAAAGCATGTTGTATAGTAAAATACAAGTGCTTTGCTCCTGTATTGTTTGTTTAATTAGTTGTCCTATATATCCCATCTATTTGGGATATATGGCATTTTTAGCGAGCGGGATTTGTGCCGCAGCACAGACGCTCTATTTAAGAAGTTTTTGTTAATTCTAACAATTATATTTCGCATTAATGCATAAATGTTGATAAATTTTAAACGTTTAAAAATTATTTTCAAAGATTTGAAGCTATTTAAAAAAATTTTATCAAGTCCTATTTGTATTCCAATTTTCATTCTGAACAATAAAAATTGTCATATATTAATAAACGAATGCAAGTTACGTCGTCATTTTACATCTTATTTATAGATTATTGTGATTTTCTTATGAATCATATATCAGTGGCCATATTACCCCCCCCCCATGAGATAAATGGCAAAAATGCAGGGATTTGAAAAAGTTATTTTTTAATATGGAAAATAAATTATTTTGGATTTCTAATATGTTTTTATAGTAGTAGATGATACAAAGTTTTTATTGGTACCTATTAATATATATGGTATAATATATATGGTATAATTAATGCTTGGATAGAAATTAATAAACAGAAATAAAATTCGAAACTTTGCAAATATTGTGAAAGTCCATTAGCTTTACTGCCAGCGTTTGTTTTGTTTGTAGAAATTTCATCAAGACAGAGAGCAAAATTTGCTCATAATTAGCAGCGATCGTTTTTAACAATCGCTATACTAAATAATTTTGGAAGAAATTCGCCAAATTCCGAGTGTGGAACTCTCCACCACTCCATATATAAGTTACCGACTGTAACAGATTACAATTCAAAGATAAAGCGATATACGAAAGTATACATACAGAAATACTTATTATAAATAGTACATTTAGTACATTTAGTATTACAAATTCGATATAAATTTTGACTGAAACGGAATAAACGACTGAACGGAATGAAGGAAATGAAGGGAACGATCAGATAGAAGAGGGTAATATGTTATAGAATTTTGTGACAGTACAGGAAAATGCAGCCTTGAATTTGGAAGTATACAATGTCTGCGAAAGGATAAGAAATATCGTGGTGACGAGTGTTAGAAGTGTTATTTGAATGAAGATCAGAGTTTAAGTATAGGAGATTTCGGAGGTATCGAGGAATACCAGATCGTAAAAATACAAGACAACACAAATGGAGAACAAAACTTTGACGAATATTAAGCCAATTAGAACGTGAGAACCGGAGAGATATGACCGTATTTGCGAACATTGAACGAAAAACGAAGACATGAATTATATATATGCAGGGAATGGAAAGTTATTTTTTAAAAGTATATATATATATATATATATATATATATACTCCACATGCCAAATATCGTGCAAAAATTTACAAGTCTCTGCCCATAAATGTAAATATTTTGATTTATAACATGTGTGACAAATTTTAATTTTTACGAGCACGATTCGTGAGAATCATCCGCAATTTGACCATTAGAAAAGCGGTCTGGCGCCAGTCTTGTATTTTTCGTTGACAGTAGAGTGAATGTTTATGGCTTTTCTATTTTCCGACAGTAGAATATATATTTAGTACCTTTTCTAGCCGAAACTCCGAAAAGAAGATTCGCGTTCTCACGGTTTCGTGCACGTGTGCGCTCGTAAATGATCGAGTCGTCATAGAATGACATTTATGGCGACTTAGCGACTACTTTTACTTACTTTTTGGAAGAGCGACAGCCGGATTGTCAGTTTCTTATTTATTGTCTCGCTATCTCGACACATCTAGATATTTCCGAAAGAAAGAATCGTGAGAATCCTCTGGACATAACATATGCATATTTAACAGCACAATATAATGTATTGAGGATTTCGTGGTTTAATATTTAAACTAACGTTTTTACTATTATTAAGGTAGGGCTTGTATCTGCAAAATCAATGTATTACGTTCAATTTTATTGAAATTAGTTATGTGACATATGTCGATTTTCTATTATTCGTATATTATGTCGTAAAAATCTCAAAAGGCGTTAAATTTCACTAATGATTTCACTAACGAATTCCAAAGAATATTTTATGTTATATCCCTACCGTAAATTTGGTATAAGATTCGTATATGAAAGGTTCAAATTCGTATATGAAAGACATACGAATCATATCCGATCGTATGCGATAACATGTTAATTGCATGATCGTATACGATTTGTATACGATTCGTATAAGATTCGCATATGCTTCATAAACGATCGGATATGAATCGTATGTCTTTCATATACTGTTTACATATACGATCTTATCTCATTTACGTATACCATGACATATGATTTTGTCTCATGCGACTTTCACGGTAGGGATTGCATCGAATGCAACTTTCTTACGAACTATGCAGGCAAATGCCTATCTTTTTAGGATCTATCACGACTGATAGTTACCAAGTGCTTTCCTTGGATGTATTTACTCAATTAGATCAATTTAAAATATTAGCTGCGTTCAGATAAAAAACAGTTTTGTTTGCAACTGTTATAAGATTTTTTAATATGATTGATTATTCTTACTTCTAATTTCTGGACTTAAATGTATAAATGAATTATAATGGAGAATTTTACAACAATTGCAAATTACTTTTTTTGCAGTCATTGAAGATCTATCTTTCAATATTGGAAACGTAAGTCAGAGAAGTAGAATAAAATTACCATAATAAACACAAGTTGCAAAGTAACAATAGATGTATATGTAAAATATGGATTAACTAATTGAATCAGTAAAGAGTATCACTGTCTTATACATATAAGGATACTTATATAAGGATGCTTATATAAGGATGCTAGTTTTCTCAATATTAACCATCTCTTGAAGTAGCTTATATGTATTCTTGCTATACATATACATTTTTAATCATTACGTTTGCAATAAGATGTACTAAAAATATCAATGATGCAAATAAGCTTGTATATATGTTTATATTATATATGTATATAAGAACAAAAATATCCGCTTCTGCGTGTTAAGTTTTCTTCTCCACCGGAATAGTGTACGTCATATTTTTGATGATTCATTTCCTCATTCCTTTTATACTTATCATATATCCGTTAGTCTGACGAAGACCGACCAACAAAGAAATGGAAGGGACGCTATGGTTATCGGAAGTTTATATATATGGTATCCAGATAGCACACAGAATCGATACACATATTTACACGTCAGATTTTTCTTGGCAGTCAGCCGCACACACGCATATAAAGACATACGTTTGTCTGTATTTAGTAGTCTAAATAGTGAAACACGCGTTCGACGTTTTGTATATAATTAATACAAGAAGAAGTGTCTGAATGTCTGACCATGTGCGACTGGTGCAGACAGCTAGTCTAAACATTTTTTAATTTTTCAAGAATATTTGCCGCTCTCGTGTTCTATCTCATCTTTTGTTATAAAATGCTTCAATAGCCTCGACAAAGAAAAGAATATTTCTCTGCATTGGTGAAGGAACAGCATCAACAAATAATTCCAAATCTGGGTTACTTTTTTTGTTGAATATTTATCTCGACAAAGGATTAACAGAAAACTGCTTCGAATAAACGACGTATTATTTATATTATTATCACGAGAAATATATATTACTATATGTAATGTACTAATAATTTATCAAAGCGATATTAAATAATACAACGATATTAAATTTTAATTTGAGAGAGGGTTGAGAGAGAAATATGAGTCACATAAGCGTGTGATATGAAATACGAAGAATTTTTTTATCGTTTGAAATGATGAACCTATGTATTCTATGTCGCGCGTGATGAATCTCAAGTTACATCGAGTTGCAAATTTATTTACGATGCGTCACGTGAAGCACAAAACGAGACGCAAAATTATTGTGAAAACGTCTCCGAGCCAACATTAAAAATAAGAAGGTTTACTTGTATATAGTGCGAGATTTGCAATGCAAACTTTATATAGAAGCATTTAATAAAAATTTTATTGTGAAAAAGATGAAAAAGATATATATATTTCCTTACGTGCAGTTTTTACATACGAGAAGTGTTAACTAAGAACGCCTACTTTTCTAGGACAAATCAGAAAAGTTGGAAAAAAAAAATGTAAATATTGATAAATGGGGGAGTAAAGGAATGTTACGAAACAAACGGAAAAGATGGAAAAAAAATGGAAAGAGTAAATAAAAATATTCATTCCCGGACGCGATACCATTCGCAATACGGATAATAAAAACTCGATCTTGAGGACATATAGCTAGGTTAGGTATAATTTAGCCTTTCTCAGGTAGAAAATTTTTAGCTATAAAATCCTCAGGTAGAAAATTTACCCTCTGTCCCATTTTCACAGTTAGAATTCCGTTTTTATTACACGTTATCTTTGTGATTTATTGAAAGATAACTCATATACCTACAGAAGATATTCGACAATAAGAAATAAAAAGCGTGGAGATATATCTACTCTCTGGATATCTACCTACACACACATAATAATTGAAAGTAGAAGAGAGGGTCAGTCGCGATAAACAGAAGACGAATGCCAGCGTATCTTTCTTGCCGTCGCGTTGCGTCTCCTTAGCGCGGTCTTTTGTCGGTTACTTCATTGGCTAATCCATGGGCCAATCGTCATACTGATTAGGCATGTACGAATCGCTAGTTCTTTTCATGGTAATTCAGTTTCTTCAAACTTTGTGTGTAAATTGGTTCAAACGTACGTTGTATATTGTGAGAGTGGATTGTCGCATTTGCTCCGTGTGATTTCTGATCTTGCCGGGAGAAGAAATTTACGTATCAAAAAGAGAATTGTCAGAGAAAAGTTATTTTAGCCGTGCGGGTAATGGCAGAACACAAGGAGCAGGTTACTTACGTGTTTAATAACTTTGTATTAAAGAAATGGCTTCACGGAGACGAAAATCGTCGTCGTACGTTGCTAGTCAAGGTGTGCGAATTTTTATTTATTGCCGATCTTACGTAAATCTAACGAAACTAAGACGTGTGTTAATCTAACCTATTATGAAAAATATTGACGTTGTCATCAAACAATTTTAATACATTTACAACTTTTGTATTTTACATTTTGTTTACGTTAAAGAACATCTTACATCCTAGCTTAGAGATTCGTAGCCTATTTAATTTCTATTAATTTTAATACAATTTGCATACACTTTACAATCTCTTCATCATCACAGGGCGTTCTTTTATTGTAAATTCATTATTCTTTCAGCTTGTATAGAGAATGACATTATAAAGATCTATTGGCGGTAGACAATTTAATGCAACCTCGAATATATGTGGAATGTGCTGATGAAGTACATGAATATGTCTGACAGTAAAGTAATTTTTTCAGCTGAAGAGCAATCTGCGGGAGCTGGGATTATCAAAGCAAGCGACACGAACAGGACTCTTACAGCTAGTGACCAAGCCGTGCGTGATTGTAAAACGACTGCCAGTTTCCAATTACGAGTAAGTTTCTGTATATACGATTGTCTGTACAGCTGCGGGGTATACGTTAATAATGAATATACAGCAAATGCGAATAACGGACATTTATCTTGCCGTTTGTAAGCCGTTTATTGCTTTTTTTTTTATTACATTGAGCATTCGATCAGATTCAGTATTCGCTGCATAAAATACTTGTGCGACATTTGATGAAACAATAACGAACTTTCGCATTTGGTGTCCGTAAATGTATATCGGATTTAATTTAAATGTTGTATTAATGTGCAAATCGTATTTGTAGTTACGCTTTCTCGCAATTTATGATATACGTTAGCTTCGCATAAAATGATACAGGAATCGTTCTTGCTGCGAGATATGTGGTAATTTCGATTTTTTTTTTTACATGAAACGCAAATAATAATTAAGATGCGGTAACTGCTAAATAAGTGTAAAAACGCTCGATATATTGACTGTAATTATTATGAGGTAACTATTGCTAATTAATTAATTATGATTTTAAAATTTATGATTGAAATATTTTACATTTTTCGAACTGTAGTGTAAATTGAAACGGTATATTTCCTCGAATCCTTTTCTACAAATTTCTCGAATACCTCTCATTGATAGGTTTTTTATAAGGGAATTATTTTTCTATAAATTATATAATTTTTTTAGTTAGAGTATTTTTTGTTTAATATTTATCTTTTATGTATGATGTATAACACATGCGCGCGCGCGCACACACACACGTGTATGTATAATATTGTATATACAATATGCTTTTAGAATTATGAATTTTTTTGTTTATATATAAAACTAAATGTTTAAGATATTAATTTTTATAAAACATGGGATACATTATGCTGTAAATATATATTTTTTTTTTGTGTCTTTCTAAAAATGATAAATTAATTAAAAATGATATTATACATATATATATAATGAAAGATAATACTATAATTGACTCGTATAATTTAAAAATCTCAGAAAATGTAATGCCTAATCGAGTCTTGTAAACAGGATGTTAATATTATATTGTGTGAATTTATATACTGCGTATTATATATATAATATTTTTAATTAAGATTTATTTAGAAAGAAACATTTATGGAGAAATGTGAATTAGTGGTTTTGATATATAGAAAGTAGATATTCTTTACAGATAATTTTTCAAATATTCTTAGCACATACATGGTAACAAATTAATTTAAACGTTATCATGCAAGCTATGGCATTATCTTGTTTAAAAAAAACAGAAATCTCTGATATTTTTCGACATGTGTATTCCATTCTTTTTTTCACATTTAATTTATTATAAATAAAATTTTCGAAGAGTGTTTAGAAGTTTCAAAGTTAAATACATATTTTCAAGTACGAACAGACCCTTAGCTATATGCGATCGACAAAAGAATTCATTCTCACTACTACTACTGTAACTTCTTGCTTCGCTTTTGTGTCACTTGGCCCTTCTTCGTGTTTATGTGAGTTCTAATTCCCAGTGTGACCATCTGGCGGTCTTAAGTAGTTTCAAGGGTTGAAGAAATATCGGTAGTTTGAACGAAACTGTTGTGTCAACTAAACGTTCGTTGCTTCTCTACTGTTGTCACAGGATTATATCAAGTAAATAAATGCTTTTTGCATGACAATTTATATTCAAAATTGATTCGATATAACGGAAAGATATTTTTAATAATAATTAGTGTAAAAAACGGAAGATTTGTAAATACGGAAAATTGTTTAATATTGTTAATTTGTTTAATAACACATTATCATTCATTCATTATTGTTCGGAGGGCATAGCCATTGAGTCTGCATATAACATTACATTAATAAATTAAGCTTATATTCAGAATGCGCTTTTGCAATGTAGTGTGTATTTAGTAAAGGTGTGCGGATACCTGAAAATATATATACGGGTCGGGTCAGATCGGTTATAATGATAGAATTAGGTCGGGCGGATATCCGAGATATTTCGGGATAAATTCTTGATTCGAGACCCGAAACTATTCGAGATTCGAAACTATTTGGGACCCGATGTTCAATACGGGACAAGGTTATTTTTATTGATCTTAAATTTTCAAGTTTGGAACGTCTTCATGTGTGTCGTGTAATTAAATATAGAATCCATAAGGAAAAAACCGATGTACGAATAAATAATAGTTTTATTTTAAATTAAAGTGCGTAGAAAGCATAACTTTTTTTTGGCATTTTCTGGTATTAATTTACTTTGTGTAGCTGTAACAGTGTTACCAGTATCAAAAAACAATATTTCGTTTGAGACTTGAAATAGGAAGGAATAGCGAGATACAATCTAGCTATTGTTGCTAATATCGGAAACCACGTAATTGTAATTTGTATTCAGAATAAGCAGAACATTTTATTATTTAAAAATGAAATAAATTCATTAGATACTGTCAGTATGCAGATCATATCAATTACCACACGTCAGTGTGACGATAAATTTCCTACAATTTTACTACAGACCAAACACAATTACATTTATTGAAATAATTCTTTTTATTTCGATTTGTTAAATAGGTGAACCGAAATCTAAATTAGCGAAGTTTTTTCAGCGAGGCTCTAGATGATCAAGAAGAGAAAGAAATAACAAACTCGTTTGCATTTTTCACATATAAAGAAATAAGGACGTAGAAAATGTAGTACCTAATAAAAGCTCTGACAATAATTGATTGATGGAAGTGTAACGTTTCCGATATTGGTTGCGGTAAATAGATTGTATCTCGCTATTCCTGCAACTCAAATCTCAAGCAAAAAATTGTTTTCTGATGCTGGTAAAATTGTTACAGCTACACGAAGTAAATTAATACCAGAAAACGTCGAAAAGTTACGCTTTCTACATTTCAATTTAAAATAAAACAATTATTCATATATTTTGCTTTTTTCCTTGTGGACTTGAAAGTTTAAAATCGGTCAGAAAAATCTTGTCCTGTATTGAATATCGGATTCCGAATAGAGTTTTAAATCTCGAATAGTTTCGGGTCAAGAATTTTATCCCGAAATTTGGGTATCTGAACATTCGGGACCGCTCGACCCGAAGCTCGGCCACCCATACACCTTTAGTATTTAGAATATAGTTCACGTCACATATACAATTTCAAACATAAGCACGTTCTTATCGATAAAGTGCGTTCTGAATACGAGCCATAAACTTTAACATAAATCGCGACGTAACTTTAGTATATGTTTACGTAGAGTTGTTTATTTCAGTAGAATCTACTTTATTTCACGGAAAAAATGCTTTTGCTAAAGTGTGTAAAAAATTTAGCATACATACCAATTTGAAAATCATTTTATTATATTATTAAAATAATTATGTAGAATGCTCAAGTTTATTGCTAGAATTGTTAAAATTTCTTCCAGCATTACTCATCATATTTGAATTTTCTACATAATTATTTTAAAGACACAATAAAATTAATTTCAAATCTGTATCTAACAAAATTTTCAGATATTTCAGCAAAACATTTTTTCCGTATATTCAAATTAAGAAAACGGGAAGAATTTTTTAGACGCAATTTCTCTTCGAATAGTCAACATTATGATTGTCATAGCTATAACGAAGAGTACTTTTTCAGTATTTAAAAAATATATACAATTACAAAAATATTGTAACATTAAAATTTTATTTATAGTTTGTTTTGCATTTTTGAACTTTGATTTTTATCTAAGATAAAGTGCTAGAACGTAATTTTACTTACGCATTACCTAGCAAAAGTTTTATTCAATTTATAATATTAAGTATATACATATAAAAAATATATAAACAAATTTATATTTGTGTGTGTGTATATAATGATTATATTATACTATATCACTGTTAAATCTACGTCAAATTTGATCTAATCTAAGTCGCCACTGCTCTTATTCAATTGTATTGTTGTTCTACCTTGTATTATTATAAAACAATGGTTATATTTGACATTATACAGTGTCAAATTGACATGATATAGTGTCAAATTTCAGTATCGTTTTTGCATAAAATAATGATACGTATATTTAGTAGGAACAATTTAAATTAAGTTAAATTTGACAGGGTAGATTTAACCGTGTGTGTGTACAATTATACAGAGTATCTGGTAAGTTGTACAAAGCGTGGTAGGCAGAAAGGATTAAATTGCCAATGAGTTGGAAGCAGATTAAACTATAACAATAAATGCTAAACCATTTTGCAATGTGTTTGCACATTTCGAGAAATTTATTAATCACTACAAATCGCCGAATGAGTGAACGCCTGGCTTACCGCTAAATGCAGGTGCGCGGCGTGATACGATCATATCTAGCGTGTGAAAATTGTTTTCTTTCACTGATCATGCGTAATTATTTCCGCATTTAATAAATGTAAATAACTTTCCGCGCGTTTAGCATTTGTGACGGATAGAAATATATACATATGATATATTTAATGGAAAGCCGAGTGGACTGTGCGCTCATTATGCGCGACTTTTATAATTAACTTCTCATAAACTAAACACGTATTCTGAAAATTACAAAACGACACAGGACATTTAAATTCGTTCTACCTGCACACGAAAGCTTTATCAAAATTATCAGTTATTCTGCATATATTTATGTGTCCTTATATGAAGAATTTTTTAAATAATAAGCAACAAATGCAACAGAATGTAAAAAATATGCATTTAAGAATCATCATCATACATTGAATGATAATTTTACATAATTTACACCCGTCGCACTATTAGAGAGATTTTTGCAAAAATGTTTAAAAACATGCTTGCACATAGTTAATTGCTAATTGTTATCCTTGCAATCGATATTGCAGTAAATTATAAACTTATTACTATAATCAATAATAAAATAATCTAGACTGCTTAATATATGAATAAATCAAATAAGGAAAGAGCCGATACGGAGGTTAGATCTTATAATTAGTGCTTAATAACAAATAATATTTTTTATTTTTATATATAAATTTTAAATACATTTTCCAATTATACGAACTTGTGATGTTACTTCAGCTTCATTTCATGAATGCGTTTCCGAACGCAGTAAACAGTGCGCAGGTTATGTGACTGAGACATATTTATAATTTACATATAATATAATTTATCATTAGGCACTAAAATTTAATCTCGACTATATTGGCACTTTATTAACTTATTTGATTTATTTTTAATAATTGTCAATAGTGAATGCGCGTGCCTCTTTATCAGAGACTGATGTGCCGCAAACTTAATTGACTGATTGATTATAGATTTTGATTCTTAAACGCATTTTGTGAACTTCTCGATTCCATATGTAAAAAATAAAGCAAAACAAATTCGACGAATTGGAATAATAGTTTTTAGCGTAAATTTTTATACTGGTAATTTTATTATCACGAAATATTGATAAGGCACTGTTAAATTCATAATGTCAAATATTATACTCAATTTGAGTTATATTTTTAATCATTTCTATATTTAAATCGCTACATCTCTTATTCAATATATTTAGTTGATTTAACTTTTTAGTTAATGTGGAGTTAATTTAACCAATTCTATTGTATTATATTTGATTTTAATTTAATTTATTATTTACTAACAACTTGTGATACATACGTTAATATGGATATTGATTATTTTGAAATTAACCATAGAAATGTATTGATTTATGTTGACGTAACTCAAGGATGGCTTGCTCCTTCGATATCTAATAGTGTGACTTATGATGATTATGACATTTATTATAAGGAAACATGAAATGCTAATTAACAAGATAAACACAAATAAATATAATCTTAAAATTAAAAGAAAATAAAAATGTTGAATAAGATTAAAAAACCAAAGCAAAAGATATTTCTTATTTCTCTAAAACTAACTAGTCTTGAGCTTCAGCGAATGTCAGATTCGCTGCAATGATGCATAAATCTCGTTGTTTCAGTGATATTCGATTTCTCCAATATACTACTGCGCGCAGAAAGATAATACACGGCACATAGCAATTATGTCCTTCAACTGCATAAATTGCTTTAACAACGGAGAGTAACCATCGATTCGTTCGCGCAATCGTATTCGTGAATTAGACATTGGAAGGTAGGTATAAATAAAAAATATTTTGCCGAGTAAGAAAAGTCAGTGTTGCTGCATCCTGTCAGAGGACAACACTGCGACGGAACGTCGCACTAGCATGCGTTTATTTCACGGCAAAATATCTTTGATGCGATATTCGTGAAATATCAAACGGTTCTCGCTCTTTGATGCAATCATGGAATGCAAAATTTCCAAGAGAAAGAAATCCATGGATGATTCGAAGTTGCTGGCTAAAACTCCAAGACTCAACACAATAATAACGCTGAAAAAAAAAGAATAAATTCCAAGCATTTCTTTATCAACAGATTTATGAAATCTTTTTCATCCATTCCAAGACTTACTTGATCGAATGCAATGTGATTTGATCGTGTGTGTGCGAGTAATAATCGTTATTCACCTTCCAAAATGTTGATTAATGAATTTCTGTACTGAAATAAAGGAGTTCTTTGTTATATTTAATGTAATTAATATATTATTAATGAAATAACATTAATTAGCACATATTGCGCAGCAGAACTGATTCGTTTCTTAAACAAGTATATATTTTTGCTATTTACGTCATAAAAAGATATAGGCTCTAAATGAAATTAATTAATAATTAAAAGTGCTTATAAGGACCAACTGGATAATAATATGTGCATTAATTTATTCAAGTCTACCTATTTATTATTTGCCTCATGATTATAGTCCTTTTCAGATCTCACAGATCGAAACGTTTCTATCCAGCAAACACCAACAAGTTATTACATGTAATGTACATGTTGTAATTTGCAACTTAATAATATATAATATGTGTATAACACACGTGTAACTTGACATTTGCTGGATAGCTTATTAATAATAAAAAGAATATACAGGACTCTTAGTATTTAAAAACAAAAAAAGAATAAGGCAAATAAGAGTCAAAAAACGTAAATACAATCTGCATGATGCGATATATTTAAATAATAAATTAAATCATAATTACAAAATACTATTTAGTTCTACATATAAAATAAATTAAAAATTGAAAGACTAATTGAAAATTAAATTAAAAATTAAAAACGTTTCGGCTCTGTATTTGAGCCATCTTCAGATGTCGCAATATTAACGCAGTAAAAATTTACAATCACGCAATAAGTTATAGACTGATTTTTGCGGACTTGACCGTCTATAACTTATTCGGTACATTTTAACTTATTGCGTGATTGTAAATTTTTACTGCGTTAATATTGCGACATCTGAAGATGGCTCAAATACAGAGCTGAAACGTTATGTTTTTAATTTTTAATTTAATTTTCAATTAGTTTTTAATTTTTAATTTATTTTATATGTAGAACTGAATAGTATTTTGTAATTATGATTTAATTTATTATCTAAATATATCGCATCATATGATGATTTTGCAGATTGTATTTACATTTTTTTACTCCTATTTGCCTTATTCTTTCTTTGTTTTTAGCTTATTAATGTAGAATAAATTAATGTACATATTACTATTCAATGTTGGTTGTTAGATACTTTTATTTATTATTGACTCAATTATCGACCTAATTTATTAATAATTTTGTAGTTATAATTATCTTTGTACAGACATTTGTCTCACATTTTTTTTATTATAATACACTTACAATTGTTAAATATCTTTATGTTTTCGAAAGAAATTGCTGCAATTATTGGATAATAAGTATTTCGTTTTAATCCATAGGAAACAGTCGCAAAGCAGTCACCGAGACGATGTCGAAAAGAAGAGACTAGAAGACAACTCGCAAGATATTATTCAACACACATCCAACGCAGAAATTTCAAACGCTGCTGCTGAAACAACATTGATTAATGCGGTAGATGTTAATCGACGCTCTTCCTCGTCGGAAGTTACATCACTAAAGAAACGTATTTTGCAAAATTTTGTTTATGAGTCTGTAAACAACTCATTAGATACAACTGTATTAATGCAATTAAAGAAACATTCAGATTCTAAAAGTAGTATCCATCCTATGAAAGATGATATTTTTGAAAGAAAACATAAGGAAAAGACAGAAAGTAAAATAAAGCAAAAATTTTGCTCAGTGAAAAACAGACTATTGGATACGTCACAAGAAGATTCCTATGAATCGAAAACGTATTCAAAAGTAAAACTAACTGATTTCATACATAAGACTCAAAATGTGTCTGTTTTAGAAAAATCAGATAAATTAATTGAACATATCGATACATTACATCAAACACCCATAAAGGAAGATGTTAATAAAGCAAAAATATGTTTAAAATCTAAAAATTTTCAAATAGAGAATCAATCTGTTAAAACAAATTCTAAAACAGTAATTAAAAGGAAGATACGTTCCGAAAGTTCAGATCGAAATACATCGTTGATAAAAATACAAAAGAAGACTGAAGTGAGTGTGTCATCAAAACAAATAACAGATAATAATCGAACAGATAATAGCGAGACATCTCATTACAAAATGCTATCTAACGATGAACTAGTTCACATAACGAATCAAACAAATGAGAACATAAAAGAAGGAGGAAATTCTGAAGTCCTAGAGCGAATAAGGGAACGACGTAGAAAAGAAAAGAATAATAATGTTAAAAAAATTCGAGAAAAATTATATAAAGGTTTTCGAGGTTTCGATACAAGTAAAGAAGAATGCAAAATTTCGTTCAATCATCTGGAAAACAATGAACAACACTTTGATGATCCATTACATAATGATATAACAGGAGAAAAGATAGAAGATATTTTAAAAAAAAATAAATTAACATATGATTTATCAGCTGATAATTGGCAGAAAGATATGGAGAGCGCAATACTAGATAAAATTAAGTCCGACAACTTACACGATTCCATTGTATCCGTTAAAGAATACGCTCTGCACAAGACTGTAACAGAAAAACAGATAAAAGATAGAGTATTATTAAATAAATATAATGCATTAATTAATGCGCAGGACATAGAAAACTTCAATAATTTATATGCATACATTGAAAAATTTAATGCTATGTACGATGATACAACTGATGAAGGATCGATATGTGAACGTATAAGCACTTCTATTAATGATTCACAGAAAAATGTAGAGAACATTAAGTCTGAACTTTCATGCGATTCCGATGCATGCACTGAAAAGTTTAACGCTATTAATAATTCGCGGCAAAATATAGAGAACATAAAATCGGATAAATCATACGATTCTAGCGTACACATTGAAAAATTAGATGCTATGTATGATGATACAACAGATAAAGATATAGTATCGATATGTAAACGTATAAGTACTTCTATTAATGATTCACAGACAAATGTAGATGACATAAACTCTGATCTTTCATGCGATTCCAATGCAAGCACCGAAAAGTACTATTCTTTGCACAATTCTATAATAGATGAGGAGACAAAGAAAGAAGAAACACTGGTTTGTGAACATGGCACGTCAGATAATAATTTTCAGGAAAATGTAATAAAAAATGAAAAAAACTCAATTTCGGATAAAGTAAAATCTTCTGAAAATTTGGACGATTCCTCTACATACAAAGAAAAGTATTGTCCTATGATAGAACAGGGCATAAAGAGTATGGCAGTAATAGTATACAATTGTGAAAATATAAATGTACCGGCTGAAGTAAGTTCTAATAACTCAAGCGATTCTTCTAATTTCACCAAGAAGTATTGTGCTACAAATGTAACAAACAAGAATATGAAAAATGAAGCATTGATATGCTTAAGTGATATGATAACTAATAATTCATGGGAAAATATAGAGAACGCAATACCAGATAAAGCAAAATTTGATAATTCACAGAATTCCGTTGTAACAATCGAAAAATGTGATATTGCAACAAAACAGAAAATAAATGACGAATTAATTAATGATGAATCAATATGCACGTTACCTGAAAATTCACAGAAAAATATAGAGAGCACAATACCGTTTGAAGTGATAGCCGATAATTCATGCAGTTCTATTGTAGATATCGGAAAATATGCCAAACACAATACTATGATAGATAAAAAGAAAGATAAAACATCGATATATGTAGAGAATGTAATACCGGATAAATTCGATAATAAACTTAATAATTTATGCGATTTTACTGTAAATGTCGAAAAATATATTTCTACGGACGATATTACAAAAGATGAGAGAGAAAAAAATAGAGCCTCAATATGTAAACGTAACATGTCAACTAATGAATTAGAAAATATAGAGAATGTAGTCTCGGTGGAAAAACAGGGTATACAGAATTTTTTATCAATTAATGACAGAGAAAACAGTAGTAAACGTGATAATAGCACAAAACATAATATACCGTCCACGATAGAAATAAATTTAGATGAAAATATATATTTTAATAAAAATACAAAGGAAAAAGCAGGTACTTATACGGAAGCGGAAGAGACAAGTACACAAACTACTTTACACACTTTGCAAAATCAAGAAACGCGCAATGTCGAAGGTATTGATTCAGCGCAACACAAAAACATGCAACAAGATGCAACATCAAATTCGGAATTGCTAATCACGTCTACACATAAATCAACATCACACAATGTTGATGAAAAAGACAACTGTGACATGTTAGAAAACAATGACGAAAATTTATTATTAACAAGTAACGATGACATTGTAAAAGACAAAAAAATTAATGATCAGCTTTCAATGATAACATCAAAATTAAAAAAGTATTTTTCGGAAGATAAAAGTAACAATTTTCTTTCCATATCACCGTCCAAAGATCCATCTAGCGAAGTAAATAATAGTGATAATTATTTATTGGATAGTAACTCAACAGATGATAACAGTGGTGATGTTGAAGTAGAAATAAAAATAAAACCCAATACGAAATCTAGAATATTACAGAAAATTTCATTAAAAGCACCTTGGTCTACAGTAAATACATACATCAAAAACTTACATAGAATTAAGGATAAGGATAATTCAAGCTTCCTTAATGAATTTTTACAAGTGGATTGTAGAACATCTGAAAAGTCTAATATCACAAATATAAGAGAAAAAGAAGACAGTACATCATTAGATGATAATATTACTGCCGAGGTTGATAAAATCATATGTGATTCTAAGTCTACTATTAAAGATAGTGAAAATCATTCTGAACAACGAAATTCTCAAGACTGTCTAATTTTAAACGAAGATAAAAATATGATGGCCTGTAACAAAAAAGACAAGGATGAATGCATTCAATCTATCATACAGACAACATCAACAATAACCGAAAACGATCTTGGCTCAAGTAAACTTGCGCACGATACATTTGTTTTGGGAAAACAGTTACAAAAGATTAACGACAAACAGAAAAACAATGAACAACAAAATTTTCGAGATAAAACTTTAGAGGAAACTAAAAATGTCGTCGAGTACAATCAGGACAAAGAAGTTAAAATATCGTCTGTTGAGAAACCACAAATAACGACTAAAAATAATTTTGAATCAATTAAAGCTGCACACGACATGCCCAATATAACAGAACAATTACCGCAAACTTCCTCGGATATGACACATAAGAAAGTACGGGTCCGTTCTATTGCGGAACTTAGTTGTCAATGTGTTGTGAATGCATCGAATCCAAGGAATGTATGCTCAGCATTCTGTCAGTCAGCATCTCAATCAGCAACTGTTCATTCAATGTCTTCTCAATCAGCAGTATCTCAATCAGTAGCACCTCAATCAGTAGCACCTCAATCAACAGCATCTCAATCAGCATTTTCTCAGTCAGTATCGAAACAACCGCCATCGTCATATGATGCGTTGCGTACACTTTTAACCAATACAAGTTCCACGGTTGCACCGGCTGAAACTAATATTCTAAATAATAATAACACTGTCTTAAATTTAGTACAAATTACAATAAAAAATATTTGTACTAATATTGAACATTGTCGCAATCTTACTCAATACAATAATCTAAAAACACATTTTCCTAAAAAATATTTAGAATCATTAAATATACTTACGAAACAAATAAGTAAAGACTTAGAAAAATTGAAAAAATTGCTGCATATAAACGATGTTAACAACATGCTAGTTTACATTAATTATTATATGCCAAGAAATTGTCAACCATTTACAGTTTTGGAATTAATAAATTATAAGAAAATTTGTTATGATTACTCCGCACAGCAAAATTATGCAAACGCGTTACAATATCAGAATGTTAGCGAATTTGCTCCAAATGTATCAGTGTCGAATATTAATGCGCAACAATTTTTGAGAAATGCTCGATTTCCATGTACACAAATGCCAAATCATAACACATTCATGCAATCTTCAACAATGCCACATCCGGTACCATCGACTTCAAACATTAACCAGCAGCAATTGGTCAGAAATTCGGCTAATTTTACACAAGTACCACACTCGAAACAAATTAGGCCAAATATTCATCAGTCGTATATGTCTTATGTACCACCTACAGCACACTCACGTATATTGAATGCTAATCCACAACCTTTAGAAAAAGCGAGTCATCCGATACAAGGCCAATATACGTCAGCGGATATGTTGAACATTCAACATGGTTTTATAAATATGAATAACATTTCTTCATCGAATGTTGATATGTGCTCGCATAAACCAGTAAATCAAGGAAATGTAAACGTGTCTTCTACAACTAACACGAGACAATTATACACCGGATTGCAACAAAATACAATTAACAGCACTGCAACCGCATCTGCTGCTAACGCGCAACAACAGAAACAAATGTATCAGATATCGCAAATGAACTCAACAACAACAGGTTATCCGTCGCCTATAACAAATCAAAATATTCCTCTTGGAATGTGTCAGATTGTGCCAAACTGTGATAATGTCAGATTACCTGGATCTTCCACGATAAATCCTGATATCTCAAGAACCAACGTTGCAATGGGAAATGTTAGATATAACACAAATGTGAATCAGCAGCAAACAAGCTGCAATTCACAAATATCTCAAACATCTTCAGGAAAAACGCAGTTTTTGCCGCAGTACGATCCAAATAAAACATATTCTTTTTTATCTCAACCTGCATATTACAACATACAAATGCGTCCCATTCAGAATACTTTGCCAAATCAAAACATGTGGCAAGTACCGCAACAGCAATTGGTGGTAAACCAAGGGAATACAAATATGCCTCTTATAACCAATACGAAACAGTCATATGTTATGTTAAATACAGTTAGCAATACTACAACTGTAAACAACCAATTCTCGCAAAGAGATACATCCACACATCTAATTAATTCATCGATGAACAATATCTTGCAGAATGTGCAACAAAATATGTCGCAGAAATTGCCAGTAAATCAAGAAAATACAAATATGTCTTCTACAATTAGTACGAAACAATCACACGTTACATCAAAAAATCCGATTAACAGTACAACTGTAAAAAGCCAGTGTGTAATATCCAAAGCTACATCTATTAATTCATCGATTGACAATACATTGCAAAATGTGCAAGAAAACGTGCTAAATAAAAAAGCAGAGATGCCCGATTTACAAAATACAAATCGCATGCAAAAGAGGGCACAATCTATGAATTTGCAAAAAAATATGTATCAAGAAAGCATATATAACAAATTACAAAATATTGGATTCACTGATTCGGAAATCTCTACGCAAAGATTGAGTATCTTACAAAGTATGGTGTCTACAATATCTCCACGAAAAGATGATGCAGTGTTATTTTTGTCAAAATTATCAATTGATCGGAAAATGCAAACAAACCAAGTTACGCCCTTTAATAATCTCGCGATTCTAACAGACATACAGAAAATTGTATTGCATGATCAAATAAAATCGTATTTCGTCTTGTGGGAGCATAAAAACTCACTTAGCAAGCAAGAATTTGAACGAGTACATAATGAGAGACTAGTACTGTTTAACTTGTATTTGAATTTAGGTGATTTCATAAAGAACATGATAAACAAGTCACAAACCGTTCAAAAATCCATCGGAATAAGTTCACAAGATACTACATCACAAAATAAATCAACATTACAAGAAAATACAATATCCGTAGACGAGTTAACAAAGACTCACCTTAATCAAGATAATGAGAATAGTTTAAAGTGTAATATAATTTTAGAAAAGCAATCAGAACGAAGTATTGATTTGAATATTTCGAAGAATTCAAAACCTGTGACGGTAAGAAGTAATTCAGAAGCGTCAAATGAAGAGTCACCTTGTACTGTAATGACTAAGAAACTCCTTCCAAAAGACACAAGATTACAAGAACAAGATAATAATACACTAAAGAAGCAATCCCCAAAAAATTCATTGATCGATACGGAAAAAAGATCTCAGAATACAAAAACATTATCACCAGAAGAGATGTCGATCACAGAAGTGTCTATCAAGAATTTGGAAACGAAAACGGAAGATAATGCGATTAACGAATCTCTGAAAGCGGCAAGTTTATATGACTCCACTCTTTCTAAACAAAGTCTACCGAATTTACAAGATGCGTCAACTGAGAACACAAAAGATCAATCAGAAATTACGAGGAATAATGCAAACAATAAGGGATTTAGTAATACGGAAACGGAAAGCGTACACAAAACTTCTAATATTGTAATATTAAATAATAGCAAGAATGTGACACACGAGGAGCACAAAACATCAGAATTTTGCTCAGGTATACAAGTTTCTACGAATGAACGAAGTAATTCTACTGAATCGTTTGAAAGTTTCGGGAAACTATATATCGATGAAAGTGCGGAAAACCAGTGCGATAAGGTGTCTTTTGAAGAAAATATCTTAAATAAATCACAAAATTCAATAGAAGTACTTGATACGATAAAATGCGATTCTACAAAAGTAAAATTATTCTCTCTTCTTAAAAACACTACTAAGGCAGATTTATGTAATACACATCAAGATTCGGAAGAGATGCAGCTACAGGACTCATCCTCATGCAATATAAAATCGGTCGATATTATAAAGGGACATGAAGATATAACGAAAGAAAATGAACAGCTATTAGTAATAAAGGAGATCATGTTTCAGAAAATGTCATTAAAATGTGAAGTTTCAAAAGACACGTTGCATGTTAAAAAAAGCATGATAAAGTCGATCAATTTAGATCATTCTGAAGATATAGAAGAGAAAAGGATGGAAATAAACACTCAAGAGCTTTCTGAAGATATAGAAAAGATAGAAATAGATACTCTTAGCACTATTAAAGAGACCAACAAAAATAGGGAAGAATTATTAAAAATAGAAGAGATCATATGTCAGAAAATGTTATCAAAATTTAAAAATTCGGAAGATATGTCGAGTATCGAAGATAACTCAATAAGATCGAATTACTTACAATTTTTTGAAGATAAAGAGGAAGAAACGATAACAATAGGCACTCAAGAGCTTGAAGATATAGAAAAAGAAAAAACGGAAATTGACACTCACAGTAGTATTAAAGCGATCAATGAACAGCTTAAGTATGTATGCGAACAAAAATATGGAAAATCACGTACTCATGCACTTAATTCCTTTCAAAAAAATGATTCCCTCAATGTAAATGAACAAGAAGACGCTAAAATGGAATTCCTTGATGCCAATGATGTCGAATGTATTTCCCTAAAAAGCGATGACTCTAATAGCATACCGAGTATCTTGAACATTAGGAGTATATCACCTTCATTATACGATAAAATAGAAAGTATAAATGTATTTTTTAAAAGTGATACAAAATTGACTCCGAATGATGAAAACTCATTAGATATAAATGACAATTTGGGAATTCTGGATGAGATAAACGACAAACCCTGTTTACGTTGCAAACGCAAGAGTATGTTACATTGTCAGACTTGCTTACAAGCTCATTATTGCTCCGAACGTTGTTCATCTTTGCATTGGATTGCGGAACATTACAAACAATGCACGAATTATAATTCGATTATCTGTATCGATGACTAATATAGTATAATAATAACCGCATATTTGTAACTTAAAATATTCCATATATTATAATAACCTTCTCTACTTATATTTTAGCATCAAAAGATTCCCTACTGAAAAAAATTATGTCACAAAGTTACATAACGAAATTATGTAAATAAAACAAGTAAATCACACATATAACAAATTGTTACAAATCAATACGTTATTTTTTAAAATTACATAATTTAAAAAATCATACGATATTAGAAATAATTTCATCCCTATCATATGATTTTAAATAATTGAATCGAATTTTAAATAATTAAATGAAAAAAATATCGTCGAGTAATTTTTCAAATTATATGATTTTAAACAATCACGTACTAATTTGGAACAATCTGTTGCGTGATTTACATATTTTATAATTACATAATTTACATATTTTAATTATACATATAATTTCGTCATATAACTTTGTGATATAACTTATTTCTAACATAGTTTCTCAATTAAACAGTATTCTTTGTTATTTACATTTAAAACTAAAACTATATTGACGTGTTATTTTTGTAACAAAACTTTTATTGAGGTGGTTGTTTAGTAAATTGAATTATCATAAAAATGTCTAATTTTTTATATAATAAAGTTGAAGTACCAAGAGAGAGAGGGGGGAGAGGGGGAGGGAGAGAGTGGAGAAATTAACGTGTGCCAAATTTTATAATACGTTAACGATATGAAATATAAGAGAAAAAATGTAACTTTTAAAACTAATAATAAAGAGAAAGAGGATTATGAGCCAATAAATTCGATAAAATCTTTAATTTATTCTAATATATTGCGAAAAATATCACGGAATTTTTAGCGTTTTGTCTCGGCTTCCACTACTAAACTCGTCGTAATTTGGGGAGACTACGTATATTGGTTAATTATTAATTAAATACATGTCAGCCTTAATAAGACGTTATTCTTACTTTGGGTAAATATTGCGAAGAATATTATTCATATAGAATCTCGATTGAATAACTCCCAGGCGTCTAAGGTAGGCTTCCACTACAATGCCTTACTGATGAGGTGATGAGTCCAGTAGTGGAAGCTGGGACGAAACGCCAAAAATTACGTGATATTCTTCGCAATATATTAGAATAAATTAAAGATTTTAACGAATTTATTCGCTTATAATCCTGTTTTTCTTTATTATTAGTTTTAAACTTATTGAGTCCTATTACTAACATATTTCACTTTTAATTTAGTAATAGATAAGGCTCGGAGACCCTTCTTTGACTAACTCTGTATACAAATCTTATAGACTTTTCTCAAAGACGAGATTATAATAGTTTTAAAAAAAATTACGATTTTCATGATCATAAATAAGTAATAGGTCAACGGTCATTCTGGAAAGATATTTACGTGTAAAACTTGCATATAAATTTAATCTCGAAAAGTAAATATAATCGCACCTTGTTTTCGTTGGATGAAGATGCAGCTCTTAATTTACTATTTAATATACTACATGTATATTATAATGAAATAGTATCGTTTCATACTATTTCATTAAGCATACACATAGTTTTTAATGTTTTATCTAAATTATACCTTTTGTAATTTTGGGTGGGTCCTGATGAGGCACCCCAAATTTTCGACACTTTACTAAAGAATCACCTTAATTATACAATATATATGGTAATTCGTGCTAATAGTTTACGTTTCTTTGTTGTCAATAGACAGAAATAGAAATATAAAAGTTGAATTGTATTTAATAACTTTTGAATTGTTTTTTTTTGCAACTCTATACCGATGTATTTGTAATTGTAACTATGCAATCGTATTATGTGCAATTGTTCCATTTTATGTTAATTTAACTACGATTATAATTACATAATTCACATATTTCATATATGTATAATTGCATATCAGGAGACGCGCGGTAGTGTCTCCGGCCATGTTCAAAATATACATATACACATGCAAATGCAATAATGAACATATATTGTGTGTATATATATATATATATATATGTATATAATATGTGTGTATGTATGATATATATATATATATATTAGGTGTGTACGCGCGTACATGTGCGTGTGTAAAAAAAACATGTTTTCATTATTGCATTTGTGCAAAAAATGACAGGGAATCAGACATTTACAATTTTGTCTTCAATATTTTTTTTAATAATAAGCTGTAAGAGACACATTTCTTGTTAAAGTTGCATTATGTTATATAGGTATAAGTAACAGTAATATATAAATCACAAAATATTAATTTAGTTATTTAATATAATTTGTATATACCTAAATAGCTTACATAAAGTCAATTACACTTTCTGCTCAGTTTAAGTTAGTTGATATATTTAAGTTTTTGATATTCTTATACCAAATTTGACAATATATCTACGATTAAAAAAAAAAAATCGTCAGTTAATCAAATATTGCGATGTGATAATATAATATTTGTTGTAACTATCATTCACATGTGAAATATAAATACATAAGGTGTGAAAAAATTATTGTATTTTAATAAAGATAAATGAAAGGATCATATTAATTGATGCTTGTTATTTTTAAATCATATTTGAGAAGTTTGGATTCTTAAATTCTATATAATATAAATACTTGAACATAAAATGAATGAAGGTAGGATTACTTTTCTTTTGCTGTAAATCTTTGATTAATTTAAATTTAACAAAATTGAATATTAAATATTTCGGTAAATGTCACAAATGTAGACTCAAATTTTATATAGGATAAAGTAGGATCGGGCTATTATATCTGTCAGTTTAAACTATAAATATAAAAACGAAAACACTCTATTTCTTTGCAGTGATATGTTTATAATTACGTTATACAATCATTATTGATTCTTGAGAGTACAAATACAAACCTTTAAAAAATCAACTGCTGCTCAAAAACAAGTATTATCATGAAAAATAGATGATAAGTTCTATCCTACATTCTACACTGAGTGTTTATAATTATAAATTTAATATGACAAGAAAATATTACTAAGGAAACAATATAAATATCATATCTCTATCATTTATTGACTCAATTACTTATAAGCCAATATAATGCATACATGTTATAGACAATGCTAATGTAAAGCACAATTATCAGAATACATGTAATAAAGAATGCTAATGTGAAGTATTATTACCATCTAAACCACTCTCTATTCTTCATAACCATCAGGTAAAGGATTCTTTTTAGGATTATGAAAAAGACTATGGTTACCATCTCCCCATGGGAATTTCTGAAAATATATCATACAAAGAATACTATTAAAAAAGTAAAATTAACAAAGACTGCATCTTGGAAGCATATCAATTTCTTGTACTTTATGACTATACGCATGTATTGATACCTTGGTTCTTATCCTCAAGTGATCGTATGGGATAAATTCTGGACGTTCATCATCATGATGTGCCTGATGATTCAAATAGCAATTAACCATAGCCAGAGCTATTGCTGGAAGACCTACGAAATATGTGAGCCTCTTCCACAACAGTTGCGTTTGGTCTGTAAAGTACATAGCATTACTGTTATATAATGTTCATTGGTAACTCATTTGACATTCTCCATATGTTTTCTTTTCATCTATAAAACATGATATGCTATTATAACATTATTTAGATATAAAGAGATAAAATAACTTCGTACTCAAGTTTTAATTAATAACATTTGACAAAAGCAGCACTTTTCTGTAAAAAATATCAGTCAATGTGTAATGTTGTGTATACAAAGACCGTTGTTTTCAAATATGTAAATAATTTATTAAAAATTTTAGCATTTCGTTAATGTTTACCTGAAACACCATGAGTGCCGCCAAATTTAGGAGCAGCTGTCGAATATTTTCTAGGAAAAGTGCGAGCAAACTTCGCCCAAGCAGCCATTTTTGTACTTCTGCTCTCAGCTGCTCTTAAGGTGCGCTCATAGATTATAGAACATTAAACATATACTATGAGAAGCGCAAGCTGTGTTAAACGATGGCGACGGGAATGATCGTCAAGCTCCTAGTGGTCTAGCCGACGTACTACGTAGTACATACCATGAGGGTGCAAACCCATACAGCGGAATAGCGTAACGTGGAACGAGAGTAGAACCAATCACGAGATTCTCTAGAAACACGGAATGCTCGTTATTGGTTCTGCTCTTGTTCCGCGTAGTGACCCTCTAATAAGAGTCTGGCCACCTTCTCCCCGGTTTGTGATTGGTCCGACATTTATCATCCATTCCCGCAAATTTCTTTAAATTTATAAACTGTAAAAATTAATAAATTCGTAAAAATTAAAGTAGAATCAATTACAATTTTTATTTTTATTATTATTTAACTTATATTAACATTATTAAATATTTTCTATAAAAACTTTTATGTAAAAAAAACGTTGCAATATGTCTTTCATAAAATAAAAACAACAATTAAGTAAGTATTATAAATAGATTGAAAATATAAAAATTAATATATTAAGAATATATAAAATTTATAAAAATATTACAAGATTAAGAAACTTTAATAAAAATTAAATTTAAATACAAATAATACAATTAATGCTTTAAAATTCTTAACAAAAAATACTTAGGTAGCACCAATAGGGAATAAATAAAGTAGTATATTTATGTAGAAAAAAATATTTCATGCATATTTCATATTATTTATGTATATTAAATATACAGTATTTATATTTAATAAAAATGTTTTTGTAATTATTATATTTAACATATATAACAAAAACATATATTCCTTTAACGCATAATAAAAATAATATAAATAATAATATTAATCATAATAATATAATAATATTAATAATAATAATAATAATAATAATTAATAATAATAAATAATAATAATATAATAATAATATAATAATAATATAATAATATAATAATATAATATAATAATATAATAATATTAATCATAATGATTCTTCTTCTTCTTCGAATATTAATTGTCCTGGGCAGCGATCATGTAATTTCCAGTGGAACTTTTCACTTTTCACTTTTCACTTAGTGATTTCACGCGAACTTTTCCACGAATATAGTGCGATTATATAACTAATGAGCGGAAAGTGAAATTACCAAAAATGAGAGATAACCTTATTTACCTTGTAAATCACTGATAGATAGTAAATAAAACAAATAAACAAATAAAGCAATAACAATGAATGTTACAAGTAAACAAAAGGAAATGTATATATTATGATGAATAACGTGATAATAGTGAAATGTAAATGTTTACCATTTATACTTATAAAAATCTATATAATCTTAGAAATATCATTAATAAAAAAAAAAGATTGTTTTAAAGAATTGTTTTAAAGACAATCAAAATAATGTCAATTTGACGTCATATTGATATTATTTTGATTGTTTTGTTCTCCTTGGATGATAACTTTAGAAACTAGAAACGTTTCTTGCATCTCAATGTTCTAGTTACTTCGAGTCACTAAACTTTCACCTTCCCGCTATCACATTTGATGGCGGAAAAATTCACGTGAAAAGTTTCACGTTTCAACGTTTCGCCGAGTTCTATGATCATAAGTTCACGTGAAATCTTTCACTTTTCGCCTTTCCGCTCTAGGGGAAAAGTTACATGATCGCTGCCCTGGTCTTAAAAATGATACGATGCATGAGGCGAGACGAAACAGAAACAGAAACTATGAAGTTTGTAGAGCTACAATCAGCTACAACTTACAGCGCCACTAGAATGAGATAGCATGATTTTTTCTCTCTCGCACAATTTCGACGAATAATGGCGGACTTCACGTGTCCAGACTCTTATTAGAGGGTCACTAGTTCCGCGTTACGTTATTCCACTGCATGGGTTTGCACCCTAATAAGAAAGGTGAAGCATTACGCATAATGGCGGTCGCTCAATATTTCAACCAATCAGATGTGTGCCTAAATGCAAAGCGCCAATTTTAACTTACTAGATAGATAGATGCACGCTAGCTTTTAATTTCTTATCTTTTAGGGTATTTGTTTAAATGCTTGAATGCGTACAATTAATAATGTATTGTTACTATTAGCCCGATATTTCATGTGTCGTACGACAAGGCTTTTCAAGCACGTTGATTGGCTATAGGACAGAGAGATCGGAGAATCTCTCTGTTTTACAGCCAATAAACAGGCTTGAAAAGCCTTGTGGTACGACACATGAAATATCAGCCTTATACTGTTAATTATTTATACACACAACTGTCAAAATACACGGCACGGCAGCCGCTCACGAAGTTAGCTCAACGAGAGAATTAATCGACGGAAATGCCAATTACTTCGACATATTCGATATATTTTTTACACGACTTTTCTTAGAAAGGATATACAATAAAATATACAAAATATATAAAATATTAGACATTTATATTATATTAGTAGTATAATAATCTGTATATGACAATATATATTTATAAATAATAAATT